TGCTTGTAGGTAATTGTTTCCAGGTTATCTTTTAATGAATTTTAGCCTCATATAAATAGTTCCCCCATCACGTCTTTCACGTAAATTAACTCATTGATTATTGGGAGTTATTGGAAAGCTGGTCAGGCTAATCGCTGTACACCACAATGCAGCCATTGTGTGAGAAAGTGGCAAAACTGCGCAGGAAAAATGTACTAATTACTTAGTGAAATGAAAATAATGTATATAAAACTATAAATGCTACATTTCTTGGCTGCAGCTCCTTTGGAGGAATTAGATAAATGAAACATTTTATCTGATTCATTTTTGCATCATCGAGGTGTACAGAGCCAGTTGTGGATATTCCACATTCCCTCGGCAGTGGGTGGTTCCTCTCGAACAACCGCTCTTGATTATGCGCAAAGTAAAGTCGGAGCGTCTCCCGGCTCAGTCTTGCACTGGGCCGCTCATATTCATTGACGGCCCTAGCAAGTGCCATAAATTACAAATTACTGTAGCAGGAGCCATTCCCTCCATATTACCACCACACCATTGACTTCCCACAAAGCGCTTCACATTTCATCATCCTCACAACCCGGGGATGATATTTTCCGAGTCAACCACCCCCTTCTCCTACCCCTACCCACCCACCAATTGAGACAAGAACCCGGGACCCTCCAACCTACCAGTTTGAGCACTCCAACCACAGCGTGCCACTTTGCTTCGACAACAAAACGCATGTGCCTCGAGATCTCTCGAGCAGACGAAATCCTGAGTCAGTCCCCTGACGATCGGGATGCACTTTTCGTGGCAAAAGAGAGAGAAGAGAGCGTGGACGCCGGCCAACGGCAGTCATGCGCCTCCGCTAACTGATTCGGCGTGGGTCGGTATTTGCGTCTCTTGTGGACACTCGTGTAGTTGTTTGGAGAAAACAGGCGCGCGCTTCACCCACCGCCAACCCCGATGGGAGTGGGGTTGGCGTAGGGCTGCGTTGATCCGCCTCCACTGCGGCATCTCTTAATACGGCGGCCAGGAGAGCGCAGCGGGCACTCGACGAGGAGCCCCGCTCAGTTTATCGTTTCACCACGAGCCCGGGGTTCGGGTGGGGGGTGACAGTGTTCACTCAACGGCAGCTGTTTTGGCGTAGGGTAAGCAAAACGTGGGAGGCGTGGTATAGAATAGCGATGGAATAGTCATAGAATGTGGGTCAAGAAAATGTGTAAATATTTTCACGACGGGAGAAGGTTTTGCTTGTTGGGCTATGTGTGCAGGATAGAAGAGGAGGGCAAGTTACTGAGACGGGCATTGAAGGGACACCAAGAAGTCGGCGACCAAGGGGAAGACCTAAAGCCACATAGCGGCGGTAGTGGTGGTGAGACCGGAAGAGCGGCCCTTGGAGATTCGGTGTCGACATTGGAACAGCTAAAGGATCTAGACCAGGGGTCAGCAACCTGCAGCTACGGAGCCCCATGCGGCTCTTTAAGGACCTCTTCGTGGCGTTATTTATTTATTATGATCACCGTCTCATTCACGTGCGCTGCGGCTCTTAAAATGTTGGGGTTTTTTTGCCGAATTTGAGAGAAATGGCTGCTCTTGTTTTGGTTGCCGACCCCATGATCTTAGCAGAAGGAAGGAAACGTTCGTGAGGTGTGGTGGGATGAACGTCATTGATCCCCGATTAACCTCTTCCCTTAGTTTAATTTTGTTACTTGTTTAAGTCCTCAATTCAATACAATTCTTGTATATTTTTTGTTTATAGTATATTAAGTTATTTTACTCGTGCTCTGTAATTAAATTAATTCACTTGGAGCTGTCCAATGCTGAGTCCGAGCTCTCACACATCCGCGGGAAGTTGACAGCACTGTTTTTATGGAGAGACTCATCCTTTCCATGGCAAGGTGGATCTTCAACCACCTGATAAGTGCTGCTCATAGGGGATGAACAACCAATAATGCTCGTTTATTCAAGGAGACTTTTAGAAGTATCTGTCTGGAAGTGTCTCTCGTGGAATGAGTGGAAAAGGAGGAGGAATAGTGGCGGGAAGGATGATACCACACGAGTAGGAATCACAGTATATTCTCTCGTTGTTCGCGAGGGATACATTCCAGACAGGCTCATGAATAGCAAATGTCGGGGATAACGATATTTTCATGAATTACCTAAAATAATGACGTAATTAAGCTGTCTTATCTCATCATTCTGTCTCATCACATTCTCTCTCATCACATTTTCATCACTTTATCTCATCACTTTATCTCATCACTTTCTCTCTCTCACGATGCAGTTATGTAGTTCCAAATGCGATTCACAGATAGCCAATATCGCGAATAGCCAAGTTCGTGAATAATGAGGAAATGCTGTATATTCACACGAGTGGAAATAGCGTGAATTTTACAAACCCAATTATTGTCGACCTGCATTACTCACGCCAACGTGGACAATTAAAGTAATTCGGGAAAAAGAAGAATCGCGACGTGATTTATCGTGAAAGGATTGTGTAACGCAGCTCTGCAGTTCGTTTTTGTTTCGATGACCTCCATTTCATCTGCTGTTATGTTCGTTCGTTCGTTTCTCAGTCCGCTTGTCATGGTGAGGGTCGCGGCAGCAGCATGTTGAGTAGGGCGGTCCAGATCTCCTTTTCCCTGGCGTCCCAAGGCCAGCTGAGCGACATAGACTCGCCAGCATGTTCCTGGGCCGGCCCCCGGGGTCTTCGCCCAGTGTTGTGTTTTTGTGCAGCCAGGAAAGCATCGTTGCTGCGTTGGCCATCGGAGCCTTCGTATGTGGCCGGTGTGCTTAAGTTACAACGCGAGTGGCAGCAGCGGGAAGGGTAGAGTATGACCTGCGAAAAATGCCGTAATCGTCATACAGAGCCAGCCGTGTATAGCCCGAGTCCTAACCGTTAAGCTCTAACCCAAAATCAAAGGCTAGTTCTCAGGTCTTAATACGTATGTATATTGAACTTCTTTCGCACTGTTCTTAAGAAATTAGTTTTCAATACAGATTTAAAAGTGTGCAGCTCCAGTGGGTTTCTAATATCAGAAGGAAGAGCATTGCCGACGGCCGCAGAAGCGCTTCAGTGACCTTGTAAATACATCCTGAGCTCGAACTTGAGCCTCGTCCCTATTGGGAGATTTGCATTACCTTGTGACTATCTCTGTTCACGCTTTTGTACCCTTCGTTTTCCTGTTTTGCCACCGCCTATTTCTTCATCGAGCAGCGTTTGCTCGCATCGATTTTTCTCCCATTGAGAGTCCGGCTGGCGCTCGTGGTTTAATAGGGTACTAATGTGTGTCATGCATGACAATGTGTTTTTGTTTACATTACCAGGTATATCCTTAAGTTGTAAGGGCTCCTGCTCGATGGGGTCCCAGACAATGAATGCCTCGGAGACAAGATATCTGCCTGTACCTGTGGCCGGCAATAATGCCACATGCCCTTATTGCAGCACTGTGGAGGACATCAGGGTTGGTGGATCGCACAAATGTCATGAAATTCCCTTCCCTTGGGCACCGAGGTGCCATACCCTGGTGGTACAGCATATGTGGACCCCCCCACCTGTTCCATCAGTATGGGAAAGGGTATTGCCCCCCTTGCACAAATAGTTTTTTTCTAGGAGTTCCAGTTTCCTCCCATTTATAAACGCTCATGAATTGGCCAATAACACCTTAACATATAGAGGATTACAGAACTTGGGGGTGGCATGGGTCAGTGGAATTTCCACCATTGGCTGAGGATCACCAGTCGAGGCGAGCACCACGCCGTGGTCTTGATCATTTGAGAAGTGAGATCAAGTCGAGTGTAGGGCAGGGAAACCTTCAGAGCGGCTGCCTTACAAGCAACACATTATCGGCTTGTATCTCGCAGCGGATCCGCTTTCAGCAACCATAACCAAATGTGTATTTGCAGCATGGCTCCGTTTGCCTGCAGGTGGGTTTTGTGCAGATAGACGAGTGGACCCTTGCTCTTTGCTTTTCATACGTTTCCCTGCAACTTGCTCACATCGGAATCCTGTGTGAGAGTCACAGGTGTTGGGAGTTTCCGATTATTGGCTTGCTGGCTACGTCCGGCCAATCACAGGTTCTGGGCATAAATATTGGCAACGTTGTGAGCATTACCACATTTCTGTTTATAGCGACAGGTTGCCCCTTGGGTGATATCACATGTAACCCTTCACAAGAGTTGCCACTGGTGTTGAAGCATGTGCGTCTGTAGTACTGATCACTTTCTTCCTTTGACATTTAGCGTAAGGCGATCTAAGTAGGTTTTAATTTAGTTACGCACGCACAGCAATAGCGCAACGAGTGTGGCGTCTTGAGACTTGGTGAGGCTTTCATGGATCATTAAACGCGATTAGGATTCATAATCTTTATCAAAAGCCACCCTCAACCCCTGCTGGATGAAGGCTTCCCCGAGCCAAAGCCATCTCTCGCGATCCTGCTACTCAACAATCCATTGGGTTCCTCCACACGAGCTCCCGTCTTCAGCAGCATTACACCTCTTGGGCATGTGCCATCTTTCGGCTGCCACTCCGTCGTTAGTCTTAACCACCAGCCATCGTCATTTGACATGACTTGAGGCCTGCCCAAGCCCACTTACTTGACCGTAAATATGGTGCCTCCGATTGGTTTTGTGTTTGCTATTCCGCACGTTCCCTGTTTGTCTTAAGTACAATTGCAAGCATGTACCTCCTGTGCTTATTTGTGCACTTTTCAGCTTTTGTTCCATTCTCTTATTGGTGTTTCCATGTTTCTGATCCGTATGTCATAGTCAGGTAATACACACAGTTAATGTCAGTATATCCAAGCATAGAATTGATCATTTTGTAGGTAATCCACATCTATTAAAGGCACCCAGACTTTGGTCATTAGGTCTTCACGGCCACCAACCATTGAGCAACCTGTCCTGCTCAAGCCCACGTTTCTTCAAGTATATCAGAGCGGTCCTTAGAAGGTTGCTGTCTTTCTCATGTCATTCTCTCTTTGTGTTCTCACCATTCCCCCCTTTGCCCTCACCAAAAAAAGACAGATCCCCGGTATAGCCTTAACAGATTGATGGGGGAAGTGCTGTAAGCGACCACCTATGAAGCCCGGCACGGCACACGAGGGGGTGGTGGGCCAGCAACACGCCCGACTTCCTTTGTCTCCCCAGTTGTGATGTTTACTACACACCGCACCAGGTACTCATTTGAGGATGAGTCGACCTAGGGGAGGCACAGGACCGATTCAGATATTCGTGACTGCTGTTATTCGTGAGTGGGAATCAAACTCGGGTTGCCGGGTTCGTAGCGCAGCGCGCTAACGGTTGCACCACCGCTCCCCACTATGCACACATACACACGCAGGCGGAGGGAGGTGGCGCAGTAGACAGAATGGCGGCTGCGGGTGTGCCGCGGTATGAGGAGGCGGTGGTGATCCTTGACGCAGGCGCGCAGTACGGCAAGGTGATCGACAGGCGTGTGCGTGAGCTGCTTGTGCAGTCCGAGATCCGGCCGCTGGACACGCCGGCCTTCGTGCTCAAGGAGCAGGGCTTCAGGTGCTCGCTGGCAACACGCACATGCACTCACGCTGCTAGACCCACACTCGCATAAACACATACATTCTTTCGCACCGTACGTGTCCAACCGTGCTAATCGGAGGTGCACTTACATAGACATACAAAGATCAAGATCCCCCATATATATTCTTGGTTCTTTCGGTAAAGTCACGTAGAAGGGAAACAATAAAATAATAAAAATGTAAAACAATAATTTTGTTTTATATTTTTATTATTTTATTATTTATTATTTTATTGTTTCCCTTCTACGTGACTTTACCGAAAGAACCAAGAATATGAATCCCTGCAGTCACGAAAGCTTTAAATCAAAATCCCCCATATAGCCTGAACAAAGGCACGAGGGGGTGGGTGGCCAGGTAAGGCCCACTGAGCTATATAGCTCTTTTTCAGAAGTGACCTGGCCACAAATGAAAGCTCAACATATTGGCTTATGTGGAAATGTATAGTAGCCAAATACTCTTAACGCGCGTTGATTCTAAATGTGGAGGGCAAACCGGAGGGCCCGGAGAGTAATCCACGCGGCCACAGAGACACGCAAACTCGAAATATACAGCAGGCGTGAGAGATGGGTTCGAACCCACGACCTCCTGCATACCTGGCGAGGTAGTTAACATCTCGCCACCGTGGCGCCCACCTAAAGGGGGGGAGGGGTGATACCCCAAGTGCCTGCCGAACTTACGAATTGAACGCTGGCATCTCTGTACGTTGTTTGTGATGCAGGGCGATCATCATCTCCGGGGGGCCCAACTCTGTGTACGCGGAGGACGCGCCACGGTTTGACCCTGCCATCTTTACGCTTGGTGTCCCCGTGCTCGGCATCTGCTACGGCATGCAGGTGCGTTGTCGGCTGTATTTTACTGTTCGGGAAACTGTTGTTGTACCTTTTTGACTCGCCACCCAAATTGGACATCTGTTTCAGATGCTATAAACTATAAAAAAAACAAAATTATGAGCCATACTAAATTTGACCAGGTAAGGTCCACTGAGCTTTCTTCAGTAGGCGTTGGGTCGAGATCGAACCCCTGACCTGCACACCAGGCGAGGTAGTTAACATCTCGCCACCATGGCACCCTGTTCAGATGCTGAACAAGGTGTTTGGTGGCACGGTGCACCGGACCCCGACGCGGGAGGACGGGCAGTTCGCCATCAGCATCGACAACAGCTGCTCCATTTTCCGGTAACGTGGCCCCCACGGGCACACGCGCCGCCCACACACAGCGGCTTCTGGAAAATCCGTGGCCGTGCTTACTGGAAAGCGCAACCTGAATATGCAATCTGGCACCGTTTTATTTGTTACCGACGTCGGTGTACGCCATTGCGGTCGGTCGCGTAACCGAGACTCGATATTCTGAAACTATTAAGCCAGTAAATCTTCTATCCTTATGTAGAAGGATCATCGTCCCTACCATTAGCATACTAGTAATTTCTTGGTTGTTACCCAGTGTTTGTTGAGGGGAGTGGTGGCGCAGTGCCGTTGTCACTGGATAGCGAAATTTGGCGGTGCGTGTGAAAATGACTTTACCGCGGATAAAAAAAAAACCCTTATTATAAAGACGTCAGACAGCACGGGACGTTCACACGAAAGCAGATTGCATCCGCCTCAAAGAGGAGCTCGATGACGGCCTTCTGCCGCCCACTGCAGGCTGACGGGGCTGCTGTGTGCGCGTGTTCCGTGCTGTTTGTCCTCGTGTAGGGGCCTGCAGAAGGAGGAGGAAGTGCTCCTCACGCATGGGGACAGCGTGGACAAGGTGGCCGAAGGCTTCAAGGTCGTGGCACAGTCCGGGAACCTCGTGGCCGGTGAGAATCCGCGACGCCGTCGCCCTCCTCCGCGTTTTTGACCGCGCACTTCGCCGACAGTGTGCGCTCAAGGTCAAAGGCTAGCCAAAGGAAGTGTGTGTGTGTGCATGACGCCACGTAGTGGGGCCTATTGCTTAACAATTGAAAATTCATATCTTTATCTTGTGTTTGTTTAGTCGGAGAAATAATCAACCAGACTTCCTTTTGTCTCATTACCATCAGCCTTGATCTATTCACTGGTGGCTGAAGACCTCCCCACGCTGTTACCTTTCCTCATGGCCTCGCGATGCAACAATACAAGTGCTTGCCATAAATGAACCTCCCTGAGATCCTCAAGGGGCATAAATCATCACGCGAACCCCGGTCATTCTCGCAGCGGATTTTGGTTAACCATCGAACAAAGACGGCCACCGCATCGCTCGCTTTCAGATGTGCTTCTGCGGCTGTCTGGAATGCTCTTCCCTCTGATATTAGGAAGCTACTAGAGCTATGCACTTTTAAACCTAAATTGAAAACGAATTCCTTTTAAAACTGCTTTTTGCATTAAGTTTGTTGCCCTTCAATTAGCCTGGTTGGCTTTGTATGATGCGAAATAAATTTTACATACATACAAAGCTATGGCACTCCTACTGACTGGTCTCATCACTCCATCTGTATGGTAGACGTACTCTCGAGGGTGTTTCCTCATTTGAATGCCAGTCCGTCATTTATCTCAACCACCCGCCTTCATGTTTGCCAGTGATGTGTCCTTCCCGAACCCACTTTTCTTCGTCGACATGACTCTTAATTTGCATATATTCTCTGTTCCATGTGTTAGTCATAAACTCTGACCCCGTTGTTTTATTGTCGACGGCTACAATTCACCTAAATCGGCGTGTGGTTCTAAAGCCACTAACTACTCGCCTATCGTGCACAGTGACGAAGGCTGTATTGCTACTGTGAACCATACATTTACAAGACTATTATTGGAATAAGCAGCACTCGGTCATAAAAATAAATGTGCGGGCAGGCTATTGTAACTCACCGATAGGAAAGCACGGATGCCAACACATTCTATTGATGTACAGTTTATTGTTTTAAATAACTGTGCCGACAATGTTCTTCAACAGAGTCGTTATTTAACAGCGTGCGCTGCTAATTTAATACTGTGTCGGTACAAGCATTTTACAGTGTATTTCACACGCAGAAAATTGCGACAGTTTTGACAACCTACATCCCAGGAAATGCAGCCACTGGCCATCAAGCCACGAGGTCACGTGGCCTACAGCTGCCATCGCCAAGCGCATTCGTAAGAATTTGCGGAACGAGTAAATGCCATTTAGCGTCCATGACTCTCCCCTTTTTATATAACCACCCCTGGTCCACTCCCATTCGCATGCAGAGTTGCCCCCGACTTGGGTGCCGGTGTCCTGCGTTTACGCTCCGCTTCCCCCCCCCCCCCTCCGCCAGGAATCGCCAACGAGGGCAAGAAGCTGTACGGCGTGCAGTTCCACCCGGAGGTGGACCTGACGCCGAAAGGCAAGAAAATGCTGCGCAGCTTCCTCTACGAGGTGGCGGGCTGCAGCGGCCTCTACACTGTGCAGAGCCGGCAGGCCGAGTGCATCCACACCATCCAGCAGCGAGTAGGCAGCTCCAAGGTGCTGGTGAGTGACTCACGTGCACAGAGGTGTGTGTGTGTGGGGGAGGAGGTCGGAGAGAGCAGTCTCGGGCCTGGTTCTGGTGAGAGTGCCGCTGCGCTGATGGTGACCTGGCCCCTTGATGGATGCGTGGCTTCTGAGGTTCCGTGATGTGAGGCGACCGTTCGGGGTGGCTCGTAGGGTTGAGGGACGCGTGCGAGCACCGAGAGAGCATCGCCCCTCCCCCCCCCCCCCCCCCCAAATTAAACTGGGTTATTTTTAAAGGTAAATTTGATCACAATTGTAGATGTTATGCAATGAGAAATGAATTGCTAGCAGTGCACCACTTTGTGTGGGAGAATGGTCCTGGAAGATAGAGTCACGGAACTACTGAATTCACTTTTTGTCCAGACTAGGAGCATACAATTCATAACCCTTACACGCAAAGATTGTTCGGCGCATGGCAATGAAGCCAAATGTTTAGAACTCGCAGACCAGGAATTGGCTGAATTAAGTGAAAAACCTGTTTTTCAGCCACCCCTGTGAGTAGGCATTCATAGGCGGTCACCCCCCCAACCCCCACCCATCCTACCATTCATACAACCATCACTGCCACGAATACCATCACCCCCTGCACCTCTACTACAAGCACTACCACCTCTACCACCACCAGCGGTACCACTAACATCAACACCACTCCACAGCGCCATTATCATCAACACAGCTACCGCCCATGCCTGCAACCACAACCTCTACCACCTACACCGTCGTCATGACTGCCACCGCCACTGCTGCCACCGCCACGAGCACTGACACGGTTCTATCACCACGACCGCCGCCGCCGTCGCCACTCTAAGGCCGCACCGGGTGTTTGTGTGGGGGGGCCTTGCAGGTGCTACTGAGCGGCGGCGTGGACTCGACGGTGTGTGCGGCTCTGTTGAGCCGCGCGCTGCCCGAGGAGCAGCTCATCGCCGTGCACATCGACAACGGCTTCATGCGGCGGCGCGAGAGCAGCGCCGTGGAGGAGGCACTCAAGAAGCTCGGCCTTAAGGTTACAGGTCAGTGGGGCGGGCGGGCGGGCAGGCGGGTGGGCAGGCGGGTGGGCAGGCGGGTGGGCAGGCGGGTGGGCAGGCAGGCGGGTGGGCAGGCGGGTGGGTGGGCAGGCGGGTGGGCAGGCAGGCGGGTGGGCAGGCTTGTGGGCAGGCGGGTGGGCGGGCAGGCAGGTGGGCAGGCAGTCCAGCTGGCGGGCAAGCAGGGTTGCTGCTATGTAATTTTTCATCATACGATGCGACGCAATGTCAAAGTTTGCGACATGAAGATTATCGCGACGTCAGCTTCCCTTAAATTTGTAATTGTACTCTGAAATTGTATTGTACTGTTTTTCTCCGCTATACACACACAGCACGAGTGGAGATTAATTGAAGGGTAATCGACTGAAATTCACTCCTCTGTTCCCCGTGCCTCCGATTAGCACGGTTGGCTACGTACGGTACGAAAGAAGTTCAGCATACATACACGCAGTGTAATGAATTATCCACCGGGGACCTGCACATGGCGTCCATCCCTTGTTGGACCTTCTCCGTGATCAACATCAACTTTGGGGGAAACAAAGGCAGCTGGTGGGCGTGCGTGGTGCTGACCCCTCGTGTGCTACGCCGGCGTTAACGGGCGCTTGCTGGCACCGATGGCGCCGCCGGCTCCGTGTACCCAGGCTGACGGGTGGTGTGCTGTGTCATTGCGCCGTGGCGTCCGTTGCAGTGGTGCGCGCCATGCACACGTTTTACAACGGCACTACAACGTTGCCCATCTCGGAGGAGGACCGCACGTCCCGCAAGCGCATCAGCAAGACGCTCAACACCACGAGCTGCCCGGAGGAGAAGCGCAAGATCATTGGCGACACCTTCGTCAAGGTCCGACGGCAGAGCGCTCGCAGCCTTGCCGAACGATAAAGTGGGGGGCGGGGGGCGAGGGGGGGGGGGACCCCCTCCGGCAGGGTGTTTTCAAATCCTTGAGATTGAGTATCTTTGTCGCTGTAGCTGCCCTTGTGGATGAGTACGTCTGTGGATGTGTGTCTCTACGACTAGGTGGCTGAGAGTCCGCGTGTGGATGAGTGCCTGTGTTAATGAGTTTGTGTGTGGATGTATATGTGTGTATGCATGTTGAACTTTTTTTCGCACCGTACGTAGCCAACTGTGCTAATCGGAGGTGCAAATCGGAATATATGTGTGTGTGTGAGTATGAGGAGCGGTAGTGTAGCGTTTAGCAAGCCATGCCCTGAACCCGGAGTCCCGAGTTCGATTTCCTGTCACGGCCAACACCAGTGACGATTATCTGAACCAGTCCTGGTCCTCCACCTAGGTCGACTCAGCCTCAAATTATTACCTGGTGCAATGTGTAAGCATTGTCACTATGTAGACAAAAGTGGCCGGGCTTGGTGCTGGCCACCTCGACCCCCTCGAACACCGTGCCGGCCTTCAAAGGTGCTCACTCGCAGCACTTCCCCCAACAGTGTGTTAAGGCTATACGGGGGTTCTTTGTCTCTGTGTGCATGAATGCCTTTGTGGCTGAGTGTTTGTATGGCAGCACTATTGTCAAGTGCACATGGTGTGTTGTACAAAATATTCTTAAGCATTTGTGACACAGGTGTGATGTGTTGATTTGTTGTGGCTTGCATGCAGCAGTGTGGCCGTGCGCCTATCTGGTTACCTACCCCCCGCGGCTGTGCACGCGTCCGACTCTACGATCGCGGATTCCATACCAGACGTCATGGCGCGTCCGTCCCGCGTGTCCACCGTGCAGGTCGCCAACGACGTTCTGGAGGAGATGAACCTCAAACCGGAGGAGGTGTTCCTGGCGCAGGGCACGCTGCGGCCCGACCTCATCGAGAGCGCCTCCCTGCTGGCCAGCGGCAAGGCTGACCTCATAAAGACGCACCACAACGACACGGAACTCATCCGGCAGCTGCGAGACAAGGCACGGCTCCGGGTGGTGGTGTTAGAAGGGGGGGAGGGGGGCGCCCGGCTTATGCCGGCACAATTGTTCGTTGCTTGTTACCTGCCATCGCACGTCGATTGGGAAACACGCACGTCGACAAGTAAAACGGAGCTGAAGCTGCAACAAGTGCGCAGAGATGCGCGGAGAGGGAGGGGAGCCGTGCTTGGGATTGCACCGAGAGACAGCAAAAGGAAAAACATTCATTGGAGAATGACAAAAGTTAAGAGACATGATGGTGTCTGTTGAGTAACGAAAAACTGAACGTATTCGTCAAGAACACTGCCTTATAAAAGAGGGTATAATCGAGCGGCCAGAGAGCACAATTGTTAATGTTGTGGGTTTACTCTCCCAACACACCGGTGTGCTGAAGTCGTACTTAATTGGCACGTTTTATTTACGTGTTAAACCTTACTCAGTGGCTGTGTCGGGTGGTGGCAGGTTGAATGATCTAACCCAAAAACCTTTATTTTAGAGAGCACATAGAGAGGCCACAGAGGTACCTCTCTGGTCTATCTCTGTGCTGTGAATAAGCGGCATTGCCGAAACTGTCGCTTGAACCATACTTTATTTTAAGGCAGTGTTTTAAGATTAGGTTTTACCCTTTCTGGCAATAAAACAGGTGTTAAGACGTTAAAACACCAATCTGAAACCTTTTGCAAGGAATTATGTCTGCATAAACCACATATACTTGTGGTGAACATGCATTGTCTTAAACTGATTGGTCCACACCAGCTTTCTTTAGAGCCTAGTCTCAAACAGCCAAGTGCCGTTCCATTGTTTACTTCACCGTAGAGAAACGGAGCTTCGATCTCACATATTGCGCCGTGGCAGCGTTGTTGTTGCCGCGGATGTGTCTCGCCGTCGCCGTTGCTCACGCTCGTTCCCTGTGCTGCCACCCAGGGCCGGGTGGTGGAGCCTCTGAGGGATTTCCACAAGGATGAGGTGCGGTCGCTGGGCCGGGAGCTGGGCCTGCCCGAGGAAATCGTGTCGCGACATCCCTTCCCAGGTCCGCGCAACTATGGCCACCAACATCCGGGGTGCCCGCGTGCGTCGGTCAGAAAATGAGGGATTTATGCCGTGGAGGACTGAATGGCTCGTAGATTGGAGCGATGGTCCGGGATTTATGTCGTGGGGGACTGGGTGGCCCTTGGTTCCTTTCTCTGCGGTGAGCTTGCTTTTACTGCCGTGCGATGAATGTTGCCCCCAAGTTGCACGGCGAGTGGGAAAGTGTGCTGCATCCCGTGGTCCATTTGCTCATGATCTGCTTGTGCGCAGGACCCGGGCTGGCGATCAGAGTGATCTGTACGGACGAGGCGTACATCTGCAAGGATTTCCCCGAGACGAATCTCCTCTTAAAAATCATCACGGACTTTGCCGCCAGCATAAAAAAGGTGCGGCCCCGAGCCCTGCCGTTGGGACTGCGCAGCGCGCCCTTCCCACTCGCGCGCTAAGTCTGTGGCGTGGTGCAGGCACGGATGTCGACTCCTGGTCATGCAACAGCTGTGGCATTTGGCCATGGTCCCCCCCATAGGGCGCCGTGGTGGCGAGATGTTAATGACCTCGCCTGGTATGCAGGAGATCGTGGGTTCGATCCTGACCCTGACGCCTGCTGTTTATTTGGGGTTTGCATGTCTCTCGCCCCGTGGTAGTGTGGATTTTTCTCTGGGTCCTCTGGTTTTTCCCTCCACATTAAGAAACACGCGTTTAAGAGTATTAGTCTGCAATAAATTTCCACATGATGATAAGCCACTTTGTTGAGCTTTCATTTGTGGCCAGGTCGCTACTGAAAAAGAGCTTATTAGCTCAGTGGGCCTCACCTGGTAAAATAAAAAAAATTGGCCTAGCCTAAGTTTACCCCAATTTTGTTTCTGTCCTCATTCGGAGTTGTCGGTAAAATGTATCGGTGCTCACTAACAACTCTTTCCTCGATAGGAAGTTGTATTTGAAAGATGCTGCATGCGAATATAAATTAATAATTATACTTGTTTACAGTCCTTTGTAAACAAGTATTCGACTGCGGGATTAAGGCTTCCCCATACTGTGTTGGGTGTAAGACGTTTTTTTTTTGCCATACTTCAACGCACTGGTCGGTAAAGGTTGGTTAAGTCCTACCCAACCGGATACCACAGTCGGTGTTAGCTCATGAATTCCCATGTGCTTTCCGTATGTTTGTGCTGTGGTGATGAGATGTTGATTATCTCGCCTGGTATACAGAAGGTTGTGGGTTCCATCCCGACCCTGATACCTGTATATTTGGAGTGTGCACTTCTCCCTGTGGTCGCATGGATTTTTCTCCCAGTTCTCCGGTTTTTCGCTCCAAAATTAGAAACACGCATTTAGAGTATTTCGCTGCTATAATTTTCCACATCGTAAGCCAATTCTCATTGATAATTTTCTTGTTTTATATTTTTGTATTATTTTATTGTTTCCCTTCTACGTGACTTTACCGAAAGAACCAAGAATATATCTTCTTGGTTCTTTTGGTAAAGTCACGTCGAATGGAAATAAAATAGTAAAAATAAAACATAATAAAATAAAATTCTCACGACGTTTCGGCCACAACACAAGTAGCCTTCTTCAGGTGAAGGAACAGAACTGTTGGGACGACAGCGCTTCATTGAACGCTGCTAAGCTTCGCAGCGTCTTTTAAGCTGGGTGGGAGGAGCAGAGCGCCTTGACAAAGGAGTTTACATATCAACAGGAGAATTTAGCATTGAAATAGCTGTGTTAAAGTGTTGGATTAGCAGGCTGTTAAAGTCAGAAATTAGCATGTAACTGTGAGATTAGCATGATGTGAATGTGAGGGATTAGCATGTAACTGGTCACGGAAATAGCTATGTTAAAGTCAGAGTTTACATATCAACAGATACATTTAGTATATTGACGCTAAAGGACTGCAACTACCCAACTATCATACAATAAACCGATGTGGAAAAAAACTAAGTATAAACTACTTCAATATAATAAATGTACTCAATATATTCTTCAATAAGTTGAGCTATTAACATAAAGTAACTGGGTATACACTACGCTATATAATGAATACCATATAGTAAACTGATAAAAAACTAAAATATAACTGCATCAATGTTATCAATAAACTCAATATACTCTCCAATCAGCTGAGCTACTAACAATAAGTCGTTATACATTTCAATTCTATGTCGAAAAAAGGGTGGCGGTTTTTTCTTTTCAATGTTAGCACCATGGAAAGCGACGAGCTTTGTCCAGACGGACGAGTCCATCTATGCTCGGAACGGAGGGGGGGGGGAGAAACAGCCACGATGCGCTGCTCTGTCCTGTGTTGCGTTACAACTATGTTATAAACTAGACTACTATACATTACAATGTTATACCTTCCAATCTAAACTACATTGTATAATACACAGCCCAATGTAAGCTCTAACATTATGCATTATATTGATATGTCTCTAACTAAACTTTTTTCTACATTATACGACTATACACCGTAATATACACTGCCATAGACAAACCCACCCTTGAATTATACAATGCGTTACTATACACTACCCTATACTTTAGACTGAAATATTAGACTTGTAATATTACACTATGTATTATTCTACCAACCCTACTGTATACCACACTGCTGTATATTCACTATACAATTATGATACTATATATTGCCTTATGAATTATGTTAAACATTACAATGTTATACTATTTATTATTTTACAACATGCTATAAACCATACCATTGACCGTCGTGTGAAAGGTATTAAGAGGCAGTGCCAGCGAATGGACTGCGGTCTGAAAGTCAACGTAAAATACAATCAATTAAAAACCGAAATGGTTTATAACGTATGATAGTTTGGTAGTTGCATCTGTTGATATGTAAACTCTGACTTTAACATAGCTATTTCCTTGACCAGTTACATGCTAATCCCTCACATTAACATCATGCTATTCTCCCAGTTACATGCTCATTTCTGACTTTAACACCCTGCTAATCCAACACTTTAACACAGCTATTTCAATGCTAAATTCTCCTATTGATATGTAAACTCCTTTGTCAAGGCGCTCTGCTCCTCCCACCCAGCTTAAAAGACCCTGCGAAGCTTAGCAGCGTTCAATGAAGCGCTGTCGTCCCGAAAGTTCTGTTCCTTCACCTGAAGAAGGCTACTTGTGTTGTGGCCAAAACGTCGTGAGAATTTTATTTTATTATGTTTTATTTTTATTATTTTATTTCCATTCTACGTGACTTTGCCGAAAGAACCAAGAAGATGAATCCCTGCAGTCACGAAAGCTTTAAATCGAAATTCAAAAACGAATATAGTTAATAGTAGTTGAAGCGTTGCCAGTGGTCCCCCTGCTCTCCGTACACCTATCCTGTTAGCGCTCACATTCTCACTCGCCCCTGCCGTCCCTTCCCTTGCCCTCTTGCGTGTGCCCTCGTTCTACCTCCTCCCACAGCCTCACGCGTTGCAGCAGAAGGTGAAGGACTGCACGACAGATGACGAGCAGGAGAGGTTGACGGAAATCACAGGACGAAACTCGCTGCACGCCTTCCTGCTCCCTGTCAAGTCCGTGGGCGTGCAGGTCTGCACACACGAAAGAGGCCCACAGCCGTTTGTTCATTTGAGTGATGGGGTGTTAATCAGCAGCATGACATTTGAAAAATCTTGCTTTGGGAGACACACTCACTCTGGGGTGAGTGCTGGGTTTCAGATGCTGAACTATAAAAAGTATGAACTATTTTTTAATTTACCAGCTAAGGCCCTGTTGTATATGTAGGTTAAGAAAATGTATCCGATTATCTCTCGAATTAGCATAATTTATGCGCATAATTACAATATTTAGCAAATTTAATTTAACTTTCATTATTTTTATCAAATTTTCATAACCTACATATACAACAGCCCGCTGAGCTTTTTTTGCTTTTTTTCAGAAGCGAACTGGCCACAAATGATCGCTCATCGAAGTGCCTAATTGTGGACATTTATAGCAGCCAAACACTCTAAACGCACGTTAATTCAGAAAAATCCACACGACCACGGGGAGAATGATGCAAACTCCATGGTCCGACTTAAGATATTTCGATCTTACGATGGCGATACGACAAAATTGTAAAATATTTTAAATTTCGCGCGGCAGGCAAACGCAGCAGCGAACGATACGTTCAATGCATGTAAGATACGTAGATTTAACGATTACAGTTTAGGGTTACCACGATACGTTACGTTCAATGCATGTTAAAAGTTTTTATAGCAGATAGGATTGTTTCCTGAAAAAAACTTTCTATTAAATTGCAGTTCATATAGGTAGGCTAAGAATTTACCTTGTGTTTTTACTTTACATTTTACTGTGCAATACAGTATTGTAATAAATAAATACATACAGTATATAGTTTATACAGTACGGTACTGTAAATTTCTCTGTTTTGCTAAATTATCGCCATTCTTTAAGACTCCTGGGTAGGCTAGGCCATTTTCGACTTACGATATTTTTCACTTACGATGGGGTCGTCGTAACGCATTTCCATCGTAAGTAGAGGACTACCTGTATTATGTGTTCATGGCGAGGTTGGTGAGTGAGCCAGTAGAGGACGGTTTAAGGAGTAGCCTGGTAAATATCTGAAACGCTGCTGGCAAATGACCGAATGGGGCAGTTGGCGGTACTTTGTGGTCCATGGTTGGAGATTAGTCACTCCGGAGACGCACTGTTGGCTAGTCTTAATATGCCATCGGTGTAAGAGGTGGCCGCATCTGACGTGTGATGTTCTGATGCGGTTCAACACAGGAGCCTTTTCCTAAACTTAGATTTAGATTGGGCATCGGCGGTATTGTGCGGTTGACGTGGGCACTGGCGCATGGAACAACATGATGGGCAACGTCATGAATCTTTATAATCTTGAGACTGGTGGCTTTTGGGGCTCTGGTGTAGCTTAGTGGGAGCGAGTCTTCTACGACTACCGATGGTAGTTAAGCCTACAGTTGCCTTTGCCACCACAAGAGGGTAGTGGCACCCTGGATAAATAATGGCATTGCTCAAAACAGATGAGCCATCGATGGGTTCACTGCATCTACACATGCTGACAGATGAATACCTGCTTCATAGGTGCGCTCTTCAGCCTTAACTGGTTGTGGCGTGTGTGCTCGCACATGCAGGGAGACTGCCGCACCTACAGCTACGTGTGCGGCCTCTCCTCCAAAAGCCCCGTGCACTGGGAGTCGCTCTTATACCTTGCCAAGCTCATCCCCAGGATATGCCACAACATAAACCGGTGAGGAACACGGGCCCCTCCACACTAGCACCATTTCATCATGAATTCCCGTGCGTGCCGTTGGCTGCTAGGCAGACTGCGTGAGGCTCAGGAGTGGATAGGGGATATCTCTGCACCTCCGATTAGCATGGTTGGTTACGTGCGGTGCGAAAAAAATTCAACATGCATACATGTGCATATCTGTTTCTATGAATCTTATAAATAATACCTCTCTCCCCCCAGCTGTGATTGGATAAATTGTCGCGATTCACGGTCACGATTTGTTTAAAAAATAAGATCCTATTTAGTTTTTTGTCCCCATGCTCCATTGAGAATATAGTGGCAGTTGGGTTTCACTGAGCCTATATATATAAGTTTGTTTTTAACTTTTATATAAACCTACCCCTCCTGCACATTTGTGCAAAAGAGCTTTATAGCTCATCGGATTCCTCCAGTATAAAGATTCTGATTCTTATCTATGAAATAGGTGTGAGCTGTGACGCAGTGGTTAGCGTACTGTGGTATGAACCCTGCCAATTGAGGTCATGCTCAGGGCCCAATGCTTTGTGGCAAAGTCGCCTGAAGCCAGATGGTCGTGCCGATGAGTCTGCAAGAGTGGACAACTACGAGGTACTGGGTGTGTTAACAGCGCAACAACTACTAGGTCTGGCAGAAAGACAAAAAGGCGATTGTGTCGTGTGGTGGCATCAGCGAGATTGGCCGTAGTAATGACCTCTTGACCCGTGACTTATCTATTTTTATTTTACCTGGTAAGGCCCACTGAGCTACATAGCTATTTTTCAGAAGCAACCTGGCCACAAATGATAGCTCAACGAAGTGGCTTATCATGTGGAAATTTATAGCAAGCAAATACAATTTTTTATTTTATTTTACTAAGGCCCACTGCGCTATATAGCTCTTTTTCAGAAGCGACCTGGCTATGACAAATGATTGCTCAACGAAGTGGCTTATCATTATGTGGAAATGTATGGCAGGCGAATACTCTTAAACGCATGTTGATTCTAAATGTGGAGGGAAAAACCGGAGGACCCGGAGAAAAATCCACGCGACCATGGGGAGAGAGACACCGCAAACTCTAAATATACAGCAGGCGTCAGGGTCGGGATCGAACCCACGGCCTCCTGTATACCAGGCGAGGTGGTTAACGTCTCGGCACTGTGGCGCCCCTTGACCAGTCCTTGACCAGTCCTCCCCGACTGGACAGGCCATGAGTTTTGCCACGATTTACTTCGGCACCCATTTCCCCCCCCCACCCCCCCCCCCCCCACCCCTCCGCCGCTGACCAATGTTGCTCGCTGCGCATCGTCGTGTCCCCGTGGGCAGGGTGGTGTGTGTGATGGGGGATCAGGTGAGGGAGCCACCCACGGATGTGACGCCCACCTACCTCACCTCGGGGGTGCTCGGCACGCTGCGGCAGGCTGACCACACGGCGCACACCATCCTGAGGGAGTCGGGTGAGCGTGGAGCCGGGTTGTGTGCAGGCGTGGGGAATCTTGCTGGACGCGCAACAGCCGATATACGGGCTGGAGTATGTGTGTTTAGATTATTTGGTGCTATACATTTCCACATGATGATGAGCCATTTTGTTGAGCTATCGTTTGTGGGCCAGGCTATTTCCTAAAAAGCTGTATAGCTCAGTGGGCCTTACCTGGTAAAAAAAAAAATAGTTCATACTAAATATATATATAGGGAAGAACAGAAGTAGATGGGTCCAATAACAGCACCTCCGATGAGCATGGGTGGCTATGTACGGTGCAAAAGAAGTTCATCATACAACAGTAGCAGCTGTAATGAGTGGTGGGCAGCCAAATCATAATGCAGGAAGAAACAGGAGAGAAAGTGGGCATTTGTGAGATTCTAGATTTAAAGCTTTCGTGACTGCTAGGATCCATACTCTTTGGTTCTCTTGGGTAAAGTCACGTAGGTGAAAATAAAATAACAAAAAATCACGACGTTTCGGCCACAACACAAGCGGCCTTCATCAGGTGAAGGGACGAGACTGTCTGGAGGACAGCACTGGAGTGGAAGAAGCCACGCTTAGATCACGACCTTTAAGCTGTGTGAGAAGAAAAAGACCAAGCGCCTTGACAAAGGAATTAGCATATAATTTAGCATTGAAATGGCTCATTGAAATAGCTAAGTTAAAGTATACACATCCACAGAGGTACCTCCTAATTCCTTTGTCAAGGGGTACCTCTGCGGATGTGTATACTTTAACTTAGCTATTTCAATGAGCCATTTCAATGCTAAATTATATGCTAATTCCTTTGTCAAGGCGCTTGGTCTTTTTCTTCTCACACAGCTTAAAGGTCGTGATCTAAGCGTGGCTTCTTCCACTCCAGCGCTGTCCTCCAGACAGTCTCGTCCCTTCATCTGATGAAGGCCGCTTGTGTTGTGGCTGAAACGTCGTGATTTTTTGTTATTTTATTTTCACCTACGTGACTTTACCCATTAGAACCAAAGAGTATTTGTGAGATTATTGACATGTATTTGTGCGTGTTTATATGGGTGTTTGTTTTTCAATGTGTGTGCTTGTGTGTGTGCGCCGTGCCTCCGATCATTAACGGTGGCGAATATTTTAACTGGACCTGGGCCTCCCCCAGGTCGACTCGGCCTCAAACGAGTACCTGATGTAGTGTGTAAACATTGCCACTGGGAAGACAAAGGCGGCCGGCCACGGTGCTGGCCACCCGCCCCACCCCCTCGTGTGCCACAGTGCCGACCTTTGTGGGTGCTTGCAAAGAGCACTTGCCCCCACAGTCTGTTAAGGCTACACGGGGGGGGTGGGTGTGGATCTTTGTCTTTGTGCCTCCACGCAGGCTACACGAGCAAGCTGAGCCAAATGCCGGTGATCTTGGTGCCGCTGCACTTTGACCGCGAGCCGCTGCTCAAGCTGCCCTCGTGCCAGCACTCGGTGGTCGTCCGCACCTTCATCACCAACGACTTCATGACAGGAACGCCCGCCCTGCCCGGAAAGCACCTGCCTGAGGAGGTGCGCCCTTTGTGGGATTGTGAAGAGTGCGCCCGGGGCTGCTCCCGGCAGGCGAGAGGATGCATTGTTGTTGTTGTTGTTGGACCAAGTCGTGCGACTCGCACGCCCAGTAACACCGCGTGCCCGAGCAGCTTCTGTGTGGCTGGATAGAGGGGGGGGGGATAAACGGGTGTGGCATGGCTAGAGCAGGGGTCGGCAACCTTTCAAAGAAGAAGATAAAAATAATTATTTGTCTTTGATCAAAATAGTTTTGGAGCCGCATTGCACGCAGAGCTACGTGTACACAAACACAGCAGCAGGTGAACAGCAAGATGACCCAACAAATTATGACTTAAATATATTTGGTGATGGAATAAACTGCGTCTATTTCGTTTTTTTCCCCTGATTTATTCTTTGCCAATAACAGTTTGACTGTTGTACATGTTATAGTCACCAAGACATTCCATCGTGACCCATTCCCCTACCATTTTTTTCATCAATTATCTTAATATAAAATATGTATGTTGTTGAACTTCTTTCACACCGTATGTAGTCAACTGTGAAACAGAGGTGCGGCAGAAGGACAACAGAGGAGATGGGCTGATAGTAGTGCAGGACTTGCAGCTGAGCAGACTTTGCCTATGACTGGTACCAGCTGTTTCAAGGTCAGCTTCTATGGAAGAGGCTCATATAAAACTCTTCTGGGCAGTTGGAGGCAGCTGCCCATTGGCTGCAATAGAGGAAAAAGCACTCCATCATCTCTGCCAGAGTAGTCCCTCACAAATTTGAACTTGTGACTTTCCAATTGTGAGTTAATCGTTCTGCCACAGTGGCCAATCATTGGAAGGTTGCTCATCCTCCTCTGCTGCCAATATCGTCTCCCTTCCTCCAGCCATCCATGCTGTCGACTCCACTGCCCTTTGTCGAAGTCCAGGCTCAAGACCTACATCTTTACGTCTGCCTATGACCGACCGTCTCTCTAAATCAAACACGCCCACTGTGTCTGTGAAGCATCTTGAGAGATGCGATTGCATTTAGACGCTAAATTGCGTGAACAGCTGTGTGTACGCTTTGCCATTTTAGCAGCATTAATATAACAGTTAACGTGGGACGTCCGTCCGGCAGGTGGTGTACAAAATGGACGAGGAGATTCGCAAGATTCCCGGGATCTCTCGAGTGATGTACGACCTGACGGCCAAACCTCCTGGCACCACGGAGTGGGAGTAGCGCCGACGGCTGCTTGAAAATCCTCACCGACTCAATAAAATACCACACATTCTCAGGCCCTTTCATTGTTCGAATGGATGTACAGGAGTGCATTGTGTATTTTAGTTTTTAATAACTCTGTGTTATTGCTCTCTTGTCTGTTTTTAAAGTGCAGAGGCAGGGTGAGTAAGGGGGGGTGGGTGATTGGGTACGGGGTGAGAGGTGCACACGTGCCTATTATTTTTGCAAACCGCGGAGCTGGGGTGGGTACGTGTTTTTTGCCAGCGAGCTTTTTGTTCCTGTGCACATTGTTGCGGCCCCGCTCACCGAGATATCAAACTCGGTGTTTGTCGTGGATTAGTGCCGGGAAAGTCAAGAGGATCACATTTTCTAAATGAGGTGGCAAGCTTGACTCTATGGTTTTTATCTACACGATTCATGTTGCTTGTGTCCACAAAACCGTACGCAGCAGATCATGAGATGGGACGTTTATAAATCTACAAAGTCCCAAACGTAGCGCTGCTGTTCCTGCATTGGCTTTTTAAAATATATATAATAAAGTGAATTAAAAAGTGCCGAAAGTTACAGAATGTTCGATGGGAATATTGAATGTTGCCAAGCAAGACATGGAAGCATAATATTACTTTATCCCCAATTTAGCCTTACATATCATCATGCAGGCACATTGTTAGTGAGTGCCTATGAAGGGCCATCAGGGGTTTTATGGCAAGGACCTCATCCACCCACCTTTGTCTCATCAGTTCTGACCTTTGCACAGCACCGCGTGCACTGTCATGCAAACCACTGCTCCACAATATACACGCCCGTTGAGGGTTGACAGATATATAAGCTCGGCGTGAGCATTCCTGGGCCAGTTCAGCACAAATGAATGGCCGGTGCCACAGTGTTATTTTCAGGACTGGGAAAGACAAAGGCTGCCAGGACCTGGCGTATTGCCACGTGCCTGCAAATTGGTGCTTTGAGAAACCATTGCGAGGATTGCGCGGGGCGACCATGCGGTGCGACGGTGCAGCAGCGAGGGTTGTGTTGTATCCCCGCGTATGCCATGGGTCTTGTGATTTCGTCCCACCCTGCAAGACGCCCATAATTGGGAGTGACCAAACATCTCCCGCAGGAGCCTCCGGGAGAAGCTCTCGAGACTTTTCGTTATATAATAACATGGTCTTTTTATTATATTGCTGGTGACATGACTAGTCCCTTGTGTTAACCATGCAAGCCTTAATAGGTGCTCGCTAACATTTTATTGGAGGATCGTATTTCACTCGCATACACGGACCATGGTTTTGGTAGATGCCCTTAAGGTATTATGAGGTAGGGCTGAACAAAGTTGGTCACTACTGACGCCCCTATTTTGCAAAGTCTTTAATTAATGCTGATTAACAATAAAAGTTTTAAAACTGAAAGAAATCCTGTTATTTATTGTATCGTGCTAAATCTATATTCTATCATGGTTAGGGTGCCACACTGGCGAGATGTTAACTACCTCGCCCGGTATACAGGAGGTCGTCGTGAGTTCGATCCCGATCCTGACGCCTGCTGTATATTTGGAGTTTGCGTGTCTCCCCGTGGTCGCGAGGATTTTTCTCCAGGTCCTTCGGTTTTCCCTCCACATTTCGAATTAACATGCGTTTAGAGTATTTGGCTGCTATACATTTCCTACGTGATAAGCCACTATCGTTGGGCTATCGTTTGTGGCCAGATCGCTTCTGAAAAAGAGCTACATAGCTCAGTGGCGCCTTACCTGGTAAAATAAAAAATGCCTTTTTATTTTTGGCTTTTTATAATACATTGAATCTCTGATGCTGCATTTTGAGCCCCTCCACAGGGCACTTGGGCTCCGCGGCCACGCATTAACAACGTGCCGATCGTGTGTGGGGTGGAGGCGAATCCAATTGAATGCGCCGCAGCTGGAACTACCGAAATACAGGAGGATTGAGTCACGTGACGTGATGTGTCCAAACTGGGGGGAGGTCTGCTATCTGAGGAAAGGTTAATCTTATTGCAATGGGTAAATCATGTTTTATACATGTTACATATAAACATGGTTTGTTTGGGTAAAGAGATTCATCTTTTTTTGAAGCTTTCGTGACTGCAAGAATCCATACTCTTTGGTTCTTTCGGTAAAATCACGTAGGTATAAAATAAAATAAATCACGACGTTTCGATCGCAACACAAGCGGTCGTCCTCAAACGGAAAAAAAATATAATCCAGCAATTCCACTGACTTTACCGAAAGAACCAAAGAGTCGAGATAGATCAAGTTTAACCTAGATAGGAAAAAGTCAGTTTGTTCCATTCTACTGCGTTGCACGGAGTAAGAGTTTGCCCCTGTCCAGCCCTGTAAGCATTCATTGCTTTTTTATTCTCCCGTGAGACCATAACAGCTGGGTGCTTGTGAACGAGTAGGCCTGTGTCAAGAGGACTACGAGCGAAGCATGGAATTTAGTAGAGGTAGAGAGCCATGGAACATGCTGTAATAAATCACGTGGTGCCGGTTATCTCGTCTCGGCCAAACTTTCTTGCACCGGTACAGGACAAGCATGACCCACTTGCCTTGTCAATCGGCTAAAAATACATTGCCAACAAATTATACTCAAGATGAAGGCGGTGTAATCATGACGGAAGCCGGAGGTGCCACCGCGCCAACGCCCGCTGACCTCTTGCCAGGCCCCGCAGCTGCTACAATCGACCCTGCAACCTCCAAAGTTTTTTTCCCGAGCAGTGTCCCATCGCCTGGACTTCCCCCTTGGGTTATCGGACTTGTCGAGGCCACGCCCGATCCTTGGCAATCGACCGCCCCTCCCTCCTGCACCACCGATTAGCAAGGTTGGCTACGTACGGTGCGAAAGAAGTTCACATGTCTCACGCAGCACAACCGTTTTTGACACGTTCTCTTCCAGGTGTCTGCATTGCTTATCCCGTCCTGCCACGAAATTCCGAGCATTCATCTGGGACGCCTGTGCTCAAATGCTACAAATGTTTTTATTATACTGGTCGGAACCTCCTGTTAACACCAGCCCACAGGGGATTATTGTGTCCGTCCATCTGTCGTGCATCCAAAAATGGGAGGGGTGGGGCTGGGTGGAGAGGGGAGGGTGGGGAGGGGCTGGGGAGGGAGGGGCTGGGTGGGGAGGGGAGGGTGGGGAGGGGCTGGGTGGGGAGGGGTGGGGCTGGTTGGGGAGGGGTGGGGCTGGGTGGGGAGGGGCTGGTCACCCCGTGGTGCCCTCACGCCGGCTTGTGCCCACCCTCACAGTCGGGCATTTTTACGGAATACACCACGTGGTGCCGCCGTTGACCCTGGCCATTGACCGAGCAACCCAACGTTCCTACCAGCTCCCTCCGCAGGAATTTTTGTTTTGGATATATGTACGTACAAGCATCTTTAATTTCATTCGTACCATACGTAGCCAACCGTGATAATGGGATGTGTGGGGAAATGACAAACAAAACAAGAAGCAGTTCTAAATATATTTTTTTCATTCTAGATTATTTAAAAGTGCGTCGCTTTAGTGGCTTCCTAATATCGGAAGGAACAGGGTTCCAGACGGCCGCAGAAGCGCATCTGAAAGGGCGCGATGCAGTGACCATCTTTGTTCGATGGTTAGCCAAAAGCCACTGCGAGGATGACCGGAGTTCGCGTGCTGGTTTATGCCCCTTGAGATTAGCAAGGCATTGTGGTACATTTGTGGCAAGCATTTTGTGTGCAATGAATGCGACCTCTCATCCATACATCACTCCTGACTCCCACCCCACCCTCCACTCCGATTAATCTCACTTCTCCAAAGTGCTAATAAATGATCCTCGGTAATGTATATGTTAAAAACCCGCACTCTAAACACAGAACCGGAATTTACCCTCTGATCTTAAGGAATGTGTAACAGCTGGGGGCTCGTTTTCGCACTATTTTCCGGGTCGCAGTATGGTAGAACAAAGTCGGCACGTGGATAGCCTTAAAATCCATATGAATAGGTATACTGAATGTGGTGTACCGGGTACATACATTTTCTGATCTTTCTGAAATGAAGACTTGGTTACAACTAACAACATTGCTTAATGGGATGACTACTGCTCTACCAACATTAGAAACATGTACACTACACTGTAAGAGGCTGATATTTTGGTAAGTGGCCCTTGAGTTCACATGCCCAGACCAAATCAGAATCAGAATATTTATTTATACTGGAGGAATAATTTACCAGTACCGCCTGAGGTTGCATAGCTTTCATGGTTCCAATTTCGTTGTGGCCAATAACAACGAATTATGTGATAAACCATTATCCAAAACTCCACTCTTATTGGTGGTGAGATGTTCGCTACATCGCTCGGTATACAGGAGAGTGTGGGTTCGAACCCGACCCTGACGCCTGTATATTTGGAGTTTGCATATTTTCCCCTCGGTCGCGTGGATTTTTCTCCGGGTCCTCCGGTTTACCCTCCACGTTTAAAGTTATTTGGCTGCTATAAATGTCCGCGTGATGAGCCACTTCGTTGAGCCATCAATTGTGGCCAGGTCGATTCTGAAAAAGAGCCATATAGCTCAGTGGGACTTACCTTGCAAAATTAAATAAATAAAAAGTTGTTTTACAAAGGGCACGACTAAAGTTGTGTTACCTTTGGGGTGGTGCCATTATCTTCTCTGGCCCACGGACTATTTGTCAGTCCTGTGCCATTATCACCAGCACCACGTGTATGGATGTTGGAACTTCGTTCGCACTGCTTTCGTGTTGACCAGCGCAGTGCGCTAACCACTGCGCCAACCGCTCCGAGCCACAGGAGCACGACTACGGCCATGCAAGCCAAACTACGGACCATATTACAAACACACAGAGATACTCTGAGACTCATAGAGACTCCACAAAGAGATACTCTGAGACTCATAGAGACTCCACACAGAGATACATGGAGACTCATAGAGACACCACACAGAGATACTCTGAGACTCATAGAGACTCCACACAGAGATACATGGAGACTCATAGAGACTCCACAAAGAGATACTCTGAGACTCATAGAGACTCCACACAGAGATACATGGAGACTCATAGAGACACCACACAGAGATACACAGTGCTAATCGAAGGTGCGTAAGCGAGCCGTGCCAACCATTCGCAGCATCTGCAGTTAGAGATCACCGCTGTGGGCCCCCACGGGGTCACCGCTGGAAGAAAAGAAACATCAGCCTCGTCTATTCTTGCTTTAACGAGGTAGAATTATTAATGACGTGTCACGGTTTTTAAATATGCAGTATCCGGAGCTGGAACGTTCCACTGCCGGAGCCCAGCAAACCAGAAGCGACTGCCAACCCTAAATCATAGTAAACAAAAATAATAGAAGCTGACGAGTCGCCTCCTCCACACATCTGGCTTTTCACGTGATAAATATACGGGGTGTATCCTACCCAAACCATCAGCCACACGGCCTTTTGGGAGTGTATAATTTCAGCAGAATTGGTTTCATACATGTTTTGACATTCAGCACATTGCTGTTATTTCCCATGTGAATTCATATTAATGTAAGAAAAAAGGATAGGCTCACGGGCACCACATTAAAGCAGCAGCTCTCACACCTGTGGCCACGGTGACGATGGAGGGCCGCTCAGGTGAGCAGAGGTACGCGGGCTGGCCCCCGTACCTCCCCAGGGGCTCGGTTGTCCTCCGCGAAGACGGAGTTCTGACCTGGGGTTCCAAACCCAAGTCGCCTAACTGGAGTCGAACCCGCCACGTGGAGCTGGGGGCGCGACCTTTAAGAGGACCTGTGGGGGACTCAGTACTCGGAGCCCGAGACCCGCACGTGGAATAAAACCCAACCCTTGGAGCTCCGCGGCTCAAGCGCGAATAGTTGTTATGTCCAGTCCGTTGATTCCTTCTACGATGGGACACAACTGCCCGGTGGGAAACAAAAATGCACATTGTACGAATGGTATCACAAATTAAAAGCGAGCGAAAATTATCGCGGCTCAAGCTTATTCTAAATCACAAATGTGATTTTTTTTAAACGTTGATGTTGGTTGGAATATCATCGGCCTCGTCATCACGGAGGTGGGTGGGAGGGGCTCATTCCAATCTTGGGCTGTACGATTCAGAAAAGCTGTATTCTCCTGCATCACAAATCACGTGTTTTAGAAAATAATTTAGTTATCATGCTCCAGTCTGCTGCTGTGAGACGGCTGTTGAATGTTCACCTTAAGTTCAGTCCAACTCCATTTGGTATCGATTCCCAGACATGCATTTCAGTCGGCGGTGAAGTCTACGTGTAGATGGATAATTAGGTTAATGAGTTTGTGAAACAAGCCAATGTTTTTTTTAAAATGGCATATTAAAAGCATATGAAAGGTAAACAATAAGTGCCTATAAAGCAATGGCATATTTTAGAACCTTCGGGCCTTGCTATATCAGGGATAAAT